AAGGAAATGCTCTTTCAGCCAGATGAGCAGGAAAAGAGGTAAAAGAGTAGCCGATCAGGCTCATAAGGATGTGAAGAAGAGCATGGGGAATACCAAACGATGGAGAAGTGAGGACAAGGGATACAAAAGGGGGGAGGCAGAGACAATAAGATTGAGTGATGAAGAGACGGACAGTGAAGGCTGCAGGGCAAAGAGGGACGGAGATGAATGGATGCGGATGGAAGAGTATTGGTTTCAGAGGTGTGAGGGAACGACAGCTGGCAACGGGGGAATTGAATGGAAACAAATAAGGAAGAAAAATGGAGAGATGTATTAAAAAAGAGAGTGAGATAAGGAAGGGCCCAGGAAGCACCAGGGAGAGAGAGGCGAGGAGGAGGAAGGGAAAGTCAGATCGACTGAAAGGAAGAGCGATAAGGAATGAGAAAAGCCCGGGGGAAGAGGTGGAAGTTAAATAACAGGAAACCGTGGTTAGTTGTCGTCATCAACCACCGAGGAAATCAGGCATGAAGCTCGGCTAGAAATCACTTAATCTACTATTCCGTCTTGACAGTGTGTGAAAGCAGAGTTGGTTTCATTGGTTACCAATGCAAATCAACCATCTCATTTTAAGACGTAGGTGTTAATTTAAGTTGACTTGTAACTATAGTAAAATCAAAATGATTTTGGTATTTGCTAAAAGGATTAAATATCAGAATATTAGATTACTTTTGTTTGTGCGATTCATCTCCACTTCCCACGACTATCCAGAAATGAATCTATAATACCACAGATACAAACAGGAAGCATTGGGTTTCATATAATGTCCTCTACTCAGGTGTGTGTGCGCGGGCGCTGCAGTCGTGTGTCTCCCATAGAGAGTGTGTGTTGTCGGGAGGTGCCAAAGATAACGATAGCTTCTGGAATAAGACCAGACCACAGTTTGTCTGTAAACACCACTTCCCCTGTCTGACAGTGACAGTTGTTTTGCATTTAAATAATAAAGCCATGATTAAGTCTGTGTTATGGAAATAGATAAAAGAAACAACACTGACCATGAATTTCAACATCCCATATTTTGGCATCTCATCCATCCACCACTAAATCAATGTGGACTTGGTTCCTTTATATACTGCGTCACCAGACTTCCATTCCCGTGCAAGTATCACACCGAAGTGCTCGTATCCAGTGTGTTCCATTCACACAGGAAAGTGAATAAAGATTTACCAGTGCCTATCCAGAAGTTAAACTCTGTGTGACTTCCCACAGATGACTGTAATCCTCTTCTCACACCAGTTGAGACCAACTGGGCTGCACAATACAACACTGCAGAGCAGCAGTGCACTGTGCCCGCCTGCAGATGCCCTCTGCACAGCTTACCTCTGTGCCCCCCTCCCCCTTTGTCCCGCCGCCACTTCCTCCTTGTTTATTTATTGTGTAGATGATCTGAAGTCTCAAATTGACTTGTGGGATTGATTTGGCAACACCCTTCTCCCTCCCCTTCATTCCCCCCCCCCTTCTGCTCTCCCCTCCCTCTGTCTCCCCCTCGACTTTTGATTAATCTAGCAGCCACTTTGAGTAGCGCAGAGAAGAAGAGGAAGTCAAACGGAAGGACAGAGGGAGGGATGAGGAAAACGGGAGGACAAAAGGAAGGTGGCATGCCGCTGTTATCCAGGCACAAAGTTATGTGATCTATATGATAAGCAAAGCTCTTTTTGATTGAGGTCGAGAATGCAAAGCAAACTTCTTCTTGGAAGGGGAAATACAAAGAGATATTTGCAGACAGAGAAAGAAAAAGATATAATAGAATAGGAAAGTAATTGGTTGCCAAGCCATTTGTGATATAGTGCTATATTTATCACCCACTACATACGCAGTTGAAATTGGTAGAAGTGGCAAAATTGTTATTGAATATTAGTACTTTTCAGATTTTACTTGGTGTCAGACAACAGTAGAAAAATATATTTCCCAGTCTTTGCTTTGTTTGCTTAAATAACAGGGTTTGGTACTGTTTATTTAATTAAGTTGAGCTGAAAGTTAAAACATCTTCAACATTTAATATTTAAAGCATATATACTTGGACAAATAGAGGGAGGTTATATGTATATTGTTTCAATTATATTGGAAATGTATCCTGGACTAGTCAAAAAGATCCAACAGAGCAGATAACGTTATCTTAGAGTCTGATGCATTATGTATAGTCAAGGAGGCAATGTTTTAATCTGAGGTTGTTTGTTTATTTGTTAGTTAGTAGGATTACGCAAAACCCAATTACCATTAAATTTCAGGACCCAAAGAATTTCGGTGCAGAACCGGTCCTGGAGCCCGATCCAGGAATTTTCTCACACTTTCTTTAACATTGCAAGTTTTTCAACATTTTCCTTGATGTCTTAGAGAATAATTCATGGATCTTAATGAACCAGATCAGACATGCTTAGGGGACTGATTTTAATGAGTGTTTGCAATTTTGGGCAGATCTAAATAAAATTCTGGATCTAGTGAATTTAAATGGGGTTTCATAAAGGGACTAATGGGCCTTGGCGGAGCTATGTGCTTGAGTGATATTCTAGTTTACCATTTTATAGCTGCTCCTTTTCCAATGATTGTGTATGGTGTTTTCTTTTTCTTTCTTTGGCCAGTGTGGGTCACTTTACGAACCTTTCAATCCTGTCTTACACTTTCTGATCTTGTGTTTTGGTTTTGGAGAGCATGAGGAAAAAATTGAACAAAAGTATCGCTCTTACTACAGCTTCATAAGTAAAACATTGGAGAAATCTTCATTTTATAATCAAGGGGAGTGAAGGGGTTGTTGTGTCGTTGCTGGGTTGTGTCTTGGTGCGCAATGGGTTATGTGGGGTCATCACCACAGAGAAGGTTTTGATGTGTTGAGGGAAGTGGTTTATGTGTGTGTGTGTGTGTGTGTGTGCACGCATCCTGCTCTATTTGTCATCCCAGCCATGGTCTTTGGTGACACTTTGTTCATTTGCGAAACCAACTGTTTGAGATGCAGCGATCGATCGAGCAAATAGAAGCAGGGCCCTGAGGATAGAGAGGGAGAAAGAGAGAGGGTGAGATGTGTGTGCAGTTTTTATTTCTGACATTTGAACCTTGAAACTGGACACACATCACTGTCCTGAATGTTTTATTTAATTCACACTGGTGTGATTGACAACGGAGAAGCTTGTGGTTTATACCGGTGGGGAGACAATGTAATTAAGACTTTCTGCCGCTTTACAACATTAAGAAAGTAGAAATGTAACTTGGGAAGAATCTGTGGCACCGGATCTTGGCTTTAGTTTTTCTTTAAAAAACTTTTTGGGAGTTTGACTTTCTATCTCCAGCACTGGCTCCTTATCGCCCTCTGATAGCCGCACTTCCATCCATTATGTTGGCAGAACTTCTGATTTGAAATTGATTTGTCAGATAGCAACTAATGGCTCCAAGAGTTGAAAACATGCTCTTGAGACTACATTTTTCATCTGTATGAAAGATCTGTCATTTTGACAAGAAGGCTGCCACTTTATAATGCACACTTATAATTTGTCCGAGAAAAAAAACGACAAATTAAACTTCTGTTTCGAGCATCGTGTGATGATAAAAATGGGATAAAGATACAGAAAAGGCTATGTATACTTACAAAAGGAGTCTGAACATTGAATTTTTTTCCAGAGTTTATAAGCAGAGCTTGTCAATGGCAGTTAAGCAACCTCACTAATATATAAACTCAATTAAGACCATGACATGAATTAGAAAGCTCAAATGAAGTTAATAAGTCTACCTTTAACTTTTTTTTGTTTGGTTTTCCTGTTTTTCTGCCGACAGTTTCAATGTTAAATATCTACGTTATTTAATGTAGTATTTAGAAATACACTTTCTGCTGAGATTTAGGCAAAAAGATAAATTCTGCTCTCATATCTGTTCTTTCAATATGAAGCTTGAACAGATAGCCTGTTAATTTAATGTAACCCAGGTTAGAATCAAATGCCAATCTTAACCTGCATTACAATATAATTATCTATGTCGAGCAGGGAATTTCCTCTCTCCTCACTTTGACTGGTTGGTGTGGGACACAGCAGTTAATTTTCTACCTAACACTCCTTTCCTGATACTGATTCAGAGTTGCTTCACTCAGCGGTGAGTTGCAGATATGCACGAGTTGAAATTTATTCACACCTATCAGCCTTTGCACCTCTAACCTTGCTCTTAGCATACAATACGGAACTCCCATAGGGTAAATGTAATATTAGGTAAGTGTGATTGAAGCATAACATTAGCATAACACCTGGAAATAGGGCGAAACCGTGAGCCTGGATCCATCCAACATTTTCTCAGCATCACTCAAGTTAGAATGTCACATCTCATAAAGCACATACTCGAGAGATAAACAAAAAAAAACTGACACATACTTAAACAAATACATGTTGGACATGTTACACAGACAAGTTTAGAAATGCATGTAGCCTACACACACACACACACACACACACACACACACACTGTGTGAGTGCTGCTCCAGTGGCCAGGTTGAACATAGTTTATATGGAGAGCTATGCACATAAGAAATCCAAGGTTCCACTGGAGGGAATTCTGCAAAGTCCATCGCAAAGTGCTGTTTACTGTGACGGGATGGAGGCAATGAATTCAAAGCAGGCTCAGGAGATGTCACTTTCTAATGTACTGTATTCCGAAAGCTCTCGGTTAAGCTGTGCTGTCTCTATCTCTCTCTCTCCTGCAGGGGAATTCTCCGTACAGCCACTCCCGAGTTTGTCTGCCTTCCAGTGTACCAGCAATCAGACTTTATTCCTCCTAAATCCCCCTTACCTAATCCCTCCCTCCTTCTCTCCCTCTCTTTTTCACCCACTTCCCATTTCCGTGTTTGACAGATATACTGTACGACAGGGAGGATGAAATAAGAGACAGCTGGAAAGCAATTGTCTTTTTATGCCACAAGGAAGCACTGTGAACCTTTAAGAGAAAGAATGATCGCTCTAACACCCCTTTTCCCTGTCTACTTCTTTTTACAGTGCAGTTCAACTTGATTCCTGTGGGTCTCAGGATAGTGGCCATCCAGAGCACCAAGACAGGGCTCTATGTCGCCATGAACAGCGAGGGCTACCTCTACACTTCGGTACGGTCAGCACATGCAATGAAGTAATGCCTCAATGATGATGTGATTATAAGATCTACTGATCTATAGCTTTGGGTGCATGTGCACAAAGGTTGCAGTCATATGCAACAGATTCTCAGAGACAGGTACACAGACTAAAGAGTGAATGATGAGTCTATGAGGTCTGACGGACTGCATGGACGGTAAAAATGTTACGGACCAGCGAGCAGTCAGGAGCTCACACTAGTGCAACCACACGGCACTTAGCGCTGCACGCACCAAGTTAGAGATCTCCTATGTTTTGTTATTTTGGGAGAAATGTAAAAAAAAAAGTGGTTCCTTGTGAAACAGTGTCAGGACAAATCAGGAAATGGCGTTTATAATTAATTGGAAGCACTGTACACTGTGTAAGAGAAAGAAAAGCTCTCAATGGGGTAAACTCAAAAGTTATATAATGTAATTGTTTTGTTATAACTATAATATCAGCGATTGAGTGACCTAATAAGCAGCCGCACGCACCTAAGCACAGTGGGACTGATACACATCGCAGCATCACATGACAAATTGTCATCTGTCTGAGTCTGTGTCTGTTCATCCCGACCTGGTTTCTTTTCGCTCAAACAACAACAAAAGTGAAAAGCTGAGGCGATGACATGTACTGTCTGTGTGCGTCTGTGCATCAAACAGTGTCCTGCTATCGGTCACAGCAGCACTTGCATGCTACAACTTCTGAAACAGCTCGTATGATGTTTCCTGGGAGTTGTTTTGCATTGATGTGCAGAGAGAAGAGGCAGAGCTGCGCCGCACGTTTGAGAGGCAGATGGAAGAGTAGATGGAGACAGAGGCATGGATCAGAGTGCACTCTGTCAGGATGCACAGAAAAGCTCTTTCTTCAGCCTTCTTCTTCTTGGCACACAGGCAAATTGTTTGAGATCTTGTTTGAAGTGCATCGGTACCCTCACTTCAAAGTCCGTCTAATGCTGACTACACGCATAGCGGCAGAGACGCGGAGGGGAGACACGGGGTTTCTATCAGGTGGAACAATCAAAATTCTGCCTGGAAAGAACCCATACACTGAAGTCCTCCCCCTGCCTCGTGTGCAGTGTGTGAACATCTTTTGATTAATGTCTGTCCTATAACAGCTTCCCCCAACCAGGGAATTCTAGTGCCTTTAAGTTCAAATGATTCTGAGGGGCCTGAACCAGAAACAAATTGAGTTCCTTCCGGATGAAAATCAAACAAAATCAGTGACAAAGCATCACCCAATAGAAACATATTTGACTTCCAGCTGAGAATATGTTCTTTTAATATGACTTTAAACTACAGGGCTCACAACAATGTCCCTGAAACCCCATACTCATGCTGTGCCCTCCGAGGGATGCCCCAAGGGGAAGCATATACAGACACAGTGGGCAGGCTTCCAGTTACTTTCTTTCTTAACTTTAAATCTAAATTCTTAATTAATCTTAATTTTGTTTGTGAATGTAAGGATTCCTGTTTGCCTTAATATATGGCATTACACCACAGTCATGTCTCTTGGCTGTGATGATCAGAACAAAGCCCAGGTTTTAGAATAATGAAATTTCCCTCTTCATCGCAAACAAATCTAAAGTATCAACTAGAATTTGCACAAATGTTCAAATGTGGCCTCGATCCACATTTCAACCTAAATGTAATATTACTGTGACTGCAACCCCAAATGAAACATCAACTTTTCCCCTTTAATGAGCCCCAGAAAGTGGTCCTTGAACATGACTTTTCCAGGGCTTGGAACCCCTCTAGACAGTAAAAAGCTTGCATGCACACACACACACACACACACACACACACACACACACCTATACACAGATTTAGAGGTTATACTTTCCTAGGCATTCTCCAGACAGAAGAAAGGTGACCCATTTTCACACAGGGAAAGAACCACAGGGAGAGAGGCAGCGGAGGGAAGAAGAGAAACGTTCGAGAGAATCCCTCGGAGATGAGAATGGAGGGAGGACAAAGCTTTTTTTCACCCTTTAAAATCCATCTACCACCGTCTGCCATTGTTGTGTATATGTGAGCACCATGGTGAGAGATGGAGAAGAAGATGGAGAACAGAAATAGAGAAAGAAGGCATGTTTTGTGCTGCCCTCAGGGTCCTGAGCGAGGCAGCGCGGAGACTTTACACCCTGTTATGCAAGTGGTATATGTGCAGGGAACTAGGCCCTTGCATCATTCCCTGACGTGTAAGAGAAATGTTTGCAAGGTTCACAGAACTTCAAGGTAATATTTTGACATGAATATGTTGAATACTTAAAGAGGATTTTGGTGCATGTGCCATTTTGGGTCATGGTTACTGATTTCTGCTGCCTGTAGTGGAAACTGCTCTGTGGGATGAGAGGAAACTCTGTTGTTGTTTAATTTTTTTATGTGTGCCGTCTTTAAAGTTTTATAATTAGGAGGACGTTTGAGATAATGGCTGTTGGTTGGCGGGTGGCAGTTTGGTCTGCATTGCAGGGAGAGAGAAAAAAGGCAACAAACTCATGGAGAGTTATTACCTGACTGTGCAGCTCACTTCAGTTCATTTTTGTTTTACGGCCCAGAACTTTACTGTTGTACTAAAATCTCCCTGCTCTCTTGGCTCACTTTCCACACTCAGTAGGCGGCTGTTTACATAAAAAAAAACAATATTTTAACCTGGTGGATAATTGAACTGCTAACAAGTCAGAGATTTCCTCCTGGATACCTTGGGGTCCTGGCCTATTTTGGCTTCACTTTGATATAGTATATCAATATATGGTAATAAAATACACAGGAAACATAAAATGGAAAAAGTTTTTGTACTTTTAAAACCACAATGAAGAATTTTCAAAATTGAAAATGTAAATGCAGGCTGTAAATGTAAAGATATGATTGTAAAACTGATATAACATTAAAAAAATATCTCTCCTGCCCCTCCCTATTATATTCAGTCTGTAGAGCAGAATCAGAAGATTCACAATTTTCCTTTTCTCAATACATCAAAAAATGACAAAGATATTGAGTTAAATGAAACGCTTGCACTATCCTTTCATTTATGCTTTTAATTGTGTAAATACATGAAATGTATACAATCATATCTCTGTTTTACTTGGCCAACCAGCGCTCCATACGTTTAATGTCAGGAGGAGGGGATGCAGTAGGAAAAGGGAGCAGGTGGACCAAAACACAGAGTCAAATCTGGTGAACATAACAAAAGAAATCCTCAATAAAACAAAAGTTGCGCTCAGACAAAACAGAGGAGTAGCACAGGTAAAGACATGAAAAAAAACTGTGGTAACCAGACACATGAACATGACAAGGACGAACCAACCGAACCAGGAGGAACACAAAGACTTAAATACACACTGAACTGATGAGTAACTGGAGACAGGTGGCACAGGACAACCAGGTGAGCCTGATGAGGGCAGGAAGTCTAGTGGGGAAGACACAACAGGAGCGGGGACTACAAAATAAAACAGGAAACAGAGGAACACTGAGATGAACATGGGGTGAAGCACAGGGTGAAACATAGAAAGAGAAACACAATAGATGAACACAGCAAGGGACAAAGAGAGTGATACACAGAGGGGACATAGAGCAAACTTAAAACATGAATTCAAAACGTAAGACAAACACAGTTTAAACTTGAACTGAAAACCCTCTTTATAAAAGAGGACAAAAATACAATAACCATGACATTTACACCATGAAGTCTCAGATCAGCCATTTGATTTGACTCCTGAGGGTTTTCAATATTTGATTAAAAAACATTGTAGTTGAAATGTTAAATGTTAATAGAAAAAATATTGTCCTTGCTTCAAGTCACTGTTGACTTTTTCAGTATTTAACCTTGAAGCCGGTGTTTTAACTTACCGTAACTGTGAAGGCTTAAATGCTGCTATGGCTGCTATCATGGGATGTAGGAAAACAAATGAACTCTATTATTAATGAATAATTTGCAAACACTTTTGAGACGTTAAATCCAATAACAATTCAATAATTGATTCAAAACAAACAAGTGGTATAATGTTTCCTGTAAAATGTATACGCTATTGCAAAGTACAAGATAGAACATCATTTTGAGTAGACAAAGCTGACATTTGCTTTCACTTATTCGAATCAAAGAGCGGATTCTCCAACTGCAGTGTCCAAGTGTGACCAAGGTTGAGAGGTGTTTCCTATAGTTCTTTTTTCGTAGCAATAACAAAAGGCTCACCCCGGCTGCGGCAGTGCTCCAGTGGCTACTCAGCATTAATCTTTCATGGGCCTCCCTCTCTGCTCTGCAACCTCACACACACAAGCAGATAATTACAACACTTATTTAAAGGATTTGAAAATTAAGTGCCTTCTCCCTGCTGTACATTTGCCAGTAATGGCTCTGAGGGAAAAGGGAAAGTAGTTTTTCTGCCTCGGCCTTCCTAAGACCCTTCATTTATCTTTATTTATCGGTTGCATCATTCTCACTCGATGCTTCTTTGTTATAATTTTTCATTTTGCATCATCTGCAGTTGCCTCGTGAGAGTGACGGAAATATAATTTAATCAGCACATCTAGTTTCATCAAGACACCTCTTACGAACATACAAATATTTGTGGAAGTGGTGGTGCTGGGGCAGCAGACAGAGAGAGACAAGGACAAAATTGAATTTGCGATTTGTCTGTTTGTCTCAGTTGAGTCCAGTATCAACCCTACCACCTGGGCCACTGTGTCACCTACAATAAAAACCTTATTTAAAAAAATACATGATTCAGTCAACAGAAACAATGGAGAATTTTTGAAACATGCACAGGAAGTGTTTCAAAATGTATGTTCGTGACCTAATCAATAAGATGATTTTTCTACTTTGCTGAACCACATTCAGAAACTATATTTCAGAAACTAGAGACTAGACATTTGACTTCTGGGCATTTTGTGTCATTGCTGAAAACTAAAATGAGACCAGTAACACACAAAAACGTTGATTAAACAATTTTATGAAAGCCAGTAATACTATTTGATGTTGATGCATAATGATTAGTTTT